TATTTATCTCTTGCGCCAGATGAACATCTTTCATCTTCAGATCATAAGGTAAAAACGAGAGAAACCAAATATTTAAGTTCTGAAACTTTCAATTATTTTAACTTTGTTTGACTGCTATATTTATTTACACTTTATTAATTTACTAAATTTTATAATGGTTATTGCCCTTAATGCTCTATGTTTTCAACATAGATTTAAAAAATAATTTTTTTAGAACTCATTTTTGCTTGATTTCTTTTATTGGAGTTAATAATAACGCGCTTGATATTTTTTCTTGTTTTCTTTTCTTTGGGTTAATAACTGTCTTCTTTGTTAACTTCTCTTTCAGAATTCGATCTTTCAGCATCTGATTTAGAGGCATTTAAAAAATGTTATCAAATTTTGCAGCTTCCTTTTGTGATTTACGTTTAGTTTTGGTTAATAAAAAACCGCGAAATCAAATAAACAAAAACATTGCAGTGCAAATTGTAAACAACATTTAATCTAAAAAAAATTGCCTTATAGTTAAAAGTTTATAATACGTATAGAAAACAAACACACAATACTAAATCTGAAGTTGGAATACTTATTTTGTAATCCGCATAAGTTAAGATTACAGGGGAGTTAATTTATTTTGGTAATTAAATTGAACCCGTCATTTCGAAAAGGGCACAAGTCCATTTATTCAAACCTTTCAGGATCAACAAAAATTACTTTATTAGAAAAAGTCTATGGTGCTAAAGAAACTAAAGATAACAGTAGATATATAAAAGTTATACATAAGTTTTTAGAGATTTATTTGTTATAAAAAAATAATATATAACACATATATTTCTAATTTAAATTTATGGACTTATGTCTTTTTCGGAATGAACGCTTTTTTGTATATAAAAACCAAAGATTATCAGAATAATAATGACTTATTATTATACAAAAACATTTATTGTTAGGTAATCATCAATTATTTCTCGGAATTCATTGTTTGCCGAAGTTGTTGGCGAAGCAAAAACCTTTGTATAGAAGTTTTGGTACTCTTCTGTTGAATATGGAATATATTTTTTCATATTTTTTTCAAATCTGATATATTTTTTTCATTGATAGGTAATTTTCCAACATATGCAGGAGTACTACTTAATGGTAAGGTTGACCGGGTACCCCTCCTTTGTAATAGCTGGAAATTATAACTGACTAAGCAATCTATGGATTCACATGTTTTCACTAAACCTGCTGTGGTATTAGAGAATGTGAAATGTGAAATTTTAGAAATACCAAAAGTAAGTTTTTTGTCCTTGGGTACTCCTTTTTTATAGGAATCCACAGATAGCACAAGTTTCTTATAATGGTTTAGCCACCGTTTTTTTACATTGTTGGTGTGTAAATCCGATCATTTTTTTGAATGTCGTTTTGCTGTTCCAAACATTCTATCGTTTGGCAAGAATGAGTGACCTCTTTTTTGTATGTAATATTGTATCTCATTTATATTGCTATCTAGCTTAGCTAACAGTGATGAAAGTATTCGGACCGTGGCATGATTTCTGTTTTGGCCTGCACAACCATCAGAAAATAGGTGCAGTTCTTTGGCTTTGTTGCCAATATTTTTAAAAATATAATTCAGCACAAAGGTACATACTTCGCTCACGTACTTTTGTTAATGTATCTCAAGGTAATGCGTTGCACCGTGATCACAGAGATTTACCTCTGTAATCTATAGGCTGCTCTTTTTTTTTAATAAAATGCATAAATGTCTAACTTGTTTCATAGAAATTCCATGCATACAGCAAAAAGCTTTCTTGCTTACTTTTCTTATCACACCTTCAATCTAAATGTGATAAATAAAAGAAAATTCTTTTTTCTTAGGTTCTTTAGATCTAAATCATCTTCCCTCTTTTCAATCAATGAATGCAAATATGTATCTTGAGCATTTTTACAATCAAATTTGTTAACAAACTGAATTGTACTTTCTATAAAATCTTCAGATACAAGCTCCACACACTTTGAATTACATCTGTAAATAAATAGAATTATTGAGGTAATATTGTAATAATTATATATCAAGATGTTTTACCTCTAATTATTGGTGGTAAAACATGAGTAAATAAGCATAAATTTGAGAACGAATATAGTCATACTCTAAAGAACAAAAAAGTAACCTACAAGAAGCACCCGTTTGACTTGGTGCCACATCATTTCCTTTGTGGTTTTTATAAGTTTCTCCAGCAATTTTGGCTTTTTTTATTTTTTTGTGTTTATAATTTCCACTGTTTCTTATACCAGACACTCTTTTTCTAGATCTATATGCATTTTCAGGAAGTTCGCGATTTTCCATTTTTGTTACAAAAAAAGTGAAATTACGTCACTACAGTTGCGCTTTGTTTCACTTGAAAAAGGCATAAGTCCGGGACTTGTGCCATTTTCAAACAGACTTTAATTTTTATTTGCATTTAAAGTTGACTTGTGGCATATGAAAATGTTTCTCCTTCAAAGGGAATATGTAAAACACTTAAATAAATAAAATTGCATTAAAAAGTGAAATTTGAAAAAAGTGTGACTTGTGCCCTTTTCGAAATGACGGGTTTAATTGTTTCACCGACAGGAGTTAATTTATTTCAAGGGAAGTTAATCTATTTTAAAGTAGATTAACTCCCTGGTTGACTTTTAACGCAACGGGAGTTTATTTATTACGGGGGTTAATTTATTTCACGACACCGGCTAACAAAGAACTTACAATTATAAATCTTATTTTGAATATGTTTTAAATTATTATAAATTATTAGTAAGACTTGTGTGACAATCTTTACTTTGATAATTACAAAATAATATTGTTTGTTCAATTATTCTGGACATTAATTAAATATATGAAGTCGCAGTATCAAATTGTATCGGTATGCACTGTTGTACTATCGGAAATCAGAACATTTTGATCACATCCTTTTTATTTGCAAGACTACCAGCACAACCCAAACTCTCAGAACTTGTTATTGAACGGTACATTGCAAAAGACATTAAAAAAGTGAACTGTGGATCACAAATATTGGAGACTCTTTAGTTGCCATTGGTGCGGACTCGACTAATTTAAACACTGGTTGGAAAGGTAATTCTATCCATTACATTGAGCATATTGCTAAGGAGGTGTTATCCATTAGATTGAGTTATTGGATAAAAACTAGTTTGAATAACTTGTACTTTTCATTCAAGCGAATTACCTCTTTGACATCCTTTGATTTAGCTTGACGGAAAAACAACAAAAACAAAGGAAAAAATAACTTTTCTGGTTCTATGGGATAACTTATAGGTATTGTAACTATGCGCACGCTCTCATATCCAAAATTTAAAAAGTATGAACCACCCTGATGTACACTCACCGGGCCTATTTCTCTTTAGGTCAGTCAATGTATGTACGCTCCATCGTGCCTATTTCTTTATATCCCAATTTACCTAAATGCTATAAATCCTAGTTAGCGGAAGTAAAGGACGTTCAACGTCGTAAAAGTTGTTTGACAACAGGGGCTACCTTTAAAATCTCATAAACACCTGTTAAATTTGAGTAAAACTGCCCTTAAAATCAACGTATTTTTGGTTAACACCTGGATCGTGAAAAACACGTTTCTATACGTGTTTTAATTCCGAAAGCGATGTGCCGGTTGAGGGTATAAACGATGGCTTGATGATCAGTCTCAATGATCAATAGTAACAGAGAAAAAGCAAAAAGATTTAAAATATATAATTGCGTAAGAAATTTTCTATAAATATTCAAAACAACAAAATGTGTCCAACAGCATGCAGGAACCAAAACAACAATCCAAAACAGTGAAAAGTGTGTTTCTTCAAATACAAACAATATCATTTTAATTATATTATATTAATTTTTATTTATTTTTAAATTAACTTTATATTAATTTATAGATTATAGTTTTATTATTTTATTATTATTAGATTATAGTTTTATTATTTATATTAATATATAATTTTAATTAATTTATAATAATTTTAATTAATTTATAATAATTTTTACATTAACTAAAAATTTGTAAAAACTTTTGGTTAATATAAGTAATTATCATAAAGTATTGAAAATTTTATGTGTGGTGGTGTAAAAAGAGATTTGAGTGGTCTTCGGGAAAGTGGAACTAAGTAATTTTTAGCAATGAAAGTAACTGTGAAGCAATAAATTAGAAAAGCAAAGTTTTCGATTGAAATCTGAAAAATATAGTAGTGGCTAAAATATACCATAAATGCATAGTCGTAAATATATTAACAGCAATCCCATAATTTTCGTTTTGTTAATTACTGTGTTGTACAAAGTTTGATTTAGAAATTTTGGATGTTATGACTGTTATTCTTTAAATGTAGCAAGTGTGTATAACATCCATACTAACTAACACATCTATGTAGAGACCTAAATACTACATGATATCATCAGCTTCAATATGCAGATTAATTGAAACAATTATTGTCTGTTTTAACAAGATATACCATTTTTCACACCTCATACAGTATATACAATTCTCAAGCATGGATAGAAGTAAGTTATAAAGACTTAATACCAGCTTAATCACTAGGTTTGAATCCAATCGCAACTATTTGGATCTCGATATACAATAACTATTCATGTTCTAAATAATATCTATATATAGCCAAGGGGTCATCCATATAGGACGTCACACTAAGTTTAACTAATGGCAAGAAGTAGGAGAATGTTGGCCCTCGTGCACAGAGATTTTTAGAGTATTATAGCGCCTTATGTTCAATAAAAATCTCCACAGACGGGAGCCAATAAACTTCTACTTCTAGTTAGTATTTAAATTCTGAATGACGTCCTTTAAGGACGACCCCAAACGAAATAACTAGGTACCACTTAGTGAAAAATTCCAACCCAAATTCGCAACAATTTTGTGTTCAATGCAAAAAATATACATAGCTTGTAATAAAGTACTGAATATTTTTATTATTTTATATACATTAAATAATTAAATAACAATAAATAATTAAAGTCGTATCAAGAAGATATAAAATACTCTCACCATTATTGCTTTCATTAGATTGATTGTGGTCAATTTTATTGTTTGCAAAAGAAGTTTCATTTTGTTTCACTTCTTCTACATTATCGTTACCAGGTAATTCTTCCAAATCGATAAAAGGTATTTTATCTGATGTAAATCCGGCCATACTTTTTTGTGTGTTCTAAATATTCATCTTTTTTCTGCCCCAGTGAAGAGTAAGGATCTCAATTTTTTTTAATCCTTAATCTAAATTATATAAGCAATTTGGTTCTAAATGTTCATTAAGTGACGTCAGACTTATTGAACATTTGAAGCATCGGGGATGTTAACCAGCCATGTTTTTAATGATCATTTATTTGACATCTATTTTAAATATTTTAACAAACGTAAAAGTATTTATAAATATTTGATAAACTTTTATATTTACAAAAATAAAAGAAAAAGATATAAAAACTCTAAAAAATTATTTGTTTTTAACAGTAATATTTCGTTTACGAAAGATAATGTTTAATAAAACAACTGTTTGCTCGAATGTACCGAAGATAAAGTTGCTAAATCATACAGAAAATTAAATCACGTTTATAATCTAATATGCTCAAATAATTTACTTAAAATAATTTACTACGTAAAAGGATATTTTATATTGATATCTGTTTAAACGTTTAAAATTAAGTATTTTGTAGTGCTATATAACCTAGTAAATAGTAAAAAAGAAATCCGACAAATGAAAAATTTAAAAAGTTAAACTTGCTGTAAATTAATAAAGAGGATTGTCAAAATTTTTATAAATACTTCTCCGGTTACAGACAGCTAGTTGCAGCAAACATAACTATTTTTATTTTTTAACAACTAATTTGTTCTTTTTTTTTGTCGTTGTTGTTTATTTTAAATACGTTTATGAAAACTTGTTATTATTCAAGTAACTACTTGAAAACTTTTAAATTATTATATTATATATCTATAGCAACCTTTGTTTAAAAACAAAATTAAATTTTTATGGAAACCTTTTTATTTATTAAAAGATGCCTATTATGCATAATAAAATATTGGTATGGTTTATTGGTATGGTATATAATTGGTAAATATTGGTAATATATGGTAAATATTGGTACGGTATATAATTTTTATATGTATAATATTAATTTTAAATTATTTTGTATAAACAGACAAAACCTAGTGAGTATTTTATTGATAAAAAACGAAAAAAAACTTTTTAAAATAAAGACGATTCATAAAGATGTATGAGAGAAGGATAAGTTGACAATATTTAATAATATTGAAAAAAATTTACTAAAGTTTTTTTTTTTTATTATTTTATGTTGCAGTTAGAAATCTTTTTTATTTTTGCTTTTATAAAACAAAAGAATACAACTCGTTGTTTACCAACGAATATATGACTAACGTTTAAAAAATCTAATTAATTTAAGACAAATTCTTAAGCTTTAAAACTTTTGAAAATTGTTTTGATCGTTGGGATTCGGCATTTTAGTATTAAACGCGCACACAAAAATGCTGAAGCGTTGATTCATCCGTCAATACCGAAAATGATCTTTTATTAAAAAAAAGTCGTCACTTTAAAAATAATTGTCTTTGACAATTAACTTCATTCATTTTATTCATTTATAGTAAAGCATTAATTAAATTAAATTGTAGAAAGATAAGCAACAGTATTTTGTCTAGGTTATTCAAAAAGCTCAAAATTCAAGGTACGTGTGTATAAGGCAGTGTACAGACAAGCTTATTTTCTCGTAATAATACTTTTAAATCAGGTAAATGCCTAAGTAGAGTTTATACAAAAACTGACTTTTTGAACAACCGATTTTCGAATTCTGAGTTTTCAAAAAAAAAAATAACGGTTTTAACCGTTATTTAAAATTTTGTAAAAAAATGTTTTGATAGGGAGAAGTATTTTTTTAAATTTATATGAAATTATAAGAAACAAAACCAACATCCAAGCCAAAAAAAGTGGATTATACATAATTTACATATAACATCAAAAACTTTCAAAAATTTTAAATTACAAACTCTATTTTTATTTCACTTCTTTTAATTTCCCAAAGGAAATAGGCTTTAAAGACATAATAATGAATATACTCGTTCACTTGCAATAGAGCTGGATTTTATAATTTTAAATGCATCAAATAACAAACCTATGTTTTTGGTTTTTTTTTATTCGTTACCTTAAATAATAAATAAGTTCGGAATCATTCACCATATTCGTCTTCAAAATTAGAATTTTCATTATTTGAGGCAACGAAAAAAAGAATTAAAAACATATATTTGTTATTTGATGCACTTAAAACTATAAAACAAAGCTCTGTTTGCTTTTGAAAGTTATAAACAAGTAGCCGTGGCGCAGTTTTGGCTCAGAACCAAGAAGTTAAAGGCTCGATGCCGGCTCCAGCTCAGTAAGTGACATTAGTAACAAAGAAGGTGTGAACCTCCTGATTAAATGCTTCTCCGCGATGCAATGAGAGAAGACAATATTGTCTTGTAACAACCTAATAGCTAAAAAAAAAGAAAAAAAAACAAAAGTAATTTTGTTTTTTGGAACTAAAGAGAGTACACTAGATTTCTTTGCTGAACCGAAAATGTTTTAAGAATTTTGCAAATTCAGTAAAAGAGTTACTAATTCTGCTTTTCTTCTTGGTCGAATTTGTTCTTCTAAAACCTTTATGAGTTTCGAGCTTCTTTCAGATTAAAATTTTTTAGTTCACTGTTATTTAAACAGTGTTAAATAACAGATCTGTTATTTAACACTGTTAAATAACAGATCTGTTAATAACAGTTGATAACAGATATTCAAATATTCAATGTTAATAACAGATATTCAAATATTCAACTTCACATAATGAATAGGCGTCTCATTGCTTTAAGCTTTCAACTGCTAGACGAATTGAGCCCAGGACGTTATGAAGTTTCAAAGGTTTAAGATATTAGGTATCATTCCACATATAAGATGAACCAATATCATTCAATGCTATAACTACACATTTTTTTGATGTTAGAAATCTACCCATCATTACCCTCTATATTATTTCACCATGTTTTCCATCTCAACATTTTCGAGTTTCAAGGTAAACCGATTTAAAAAATAAAAACTTTAGGAGACGGCATTTAAAAAGATTTTTATTTCTAATGTTTTTTCGGTCACTTTTATGGTTATAACTTAGGTTTCAATATAGTAGAAAAACAAATTTTGTGGTACTTGACCTAATAAATAACTTGAGTTAAAAAGTGGAGAACAAAATAATTCTAACCTCATGATATGATGTTTATTACGTAATAAACATCATTCCTCAAAATTACATTAAATTAAAAATAAGTAAAAGCATACTGTCTCCAGTATACTGGAGACAATCTCCAAATTTCCAGCATACTGGAGATCTCCAGTATACTAGAATTCCCACTCTCCAAAGCTCCAGTATACTGGAGATTTTCAAATAAACCTACAATTTTTCTGATTTGTGAAAATGTTTTTACTTGTCAGACAAAATAAGGGTTGGATGTTTTTGGTTACAAACATAATAAAGAGGATTTTTGTAACTTCCATATTTGTCTTCATCTTCCCGTCTTCACCTGAAACATTAATTTGGGATTTAGTTTAATCATTCATCTATATTTATATATCTTTATTTATCTATATTTATCTATATATATATATATATATATATATATATATATATATATATATATATATATATATATATATATATATATATATATATATATATATATATATATATATATTATATATATATATATATATATATATATATATGTATATATATATATATATACATATATATATATATATATATATATATATATATATATATATATATATATATATATATATATATATATATATATATATATATATTATATATATATTTATCTATATTTATATAACAACTACTGTACTAACTATAACAACTGTATCATTTTCTAGATTCAAGTTAAAATATTTAAGTCTTCTAGATACCAGTGGCGGGTCCAGCATTTTTTGGTCGTTGAGAGCTAACTTTCATACATGGAACAAACTGCAAACATTTATTTGTTTATACTTATGTCGAATAAGGATACTTTGCAAAAAATTGCGATGATTGGAGGCTGGGAACAAAAAAGCACCAAAATTTTCGCCCCCTGCCTCAAAGGTGAGCGCAACAAGTTGATGAAATATTTTTTGTACTATTCTCAACTAGACTTACATTCATCAAGAAATTTTAAGTTTCATAGTATTATCTTTTAGCGTTCAAAAATTATGACCATATAAAATTTGCAACCCTCTCAAATTGAGGGTGGGGGGTAAAAGATTTATATGATCATAATTTTTGAACGCTTAAATATTTTACTATGAAATTTAAAATTTATCGACGAATATAAGTCTAGTTAAGAATAGTATAAAAAATATTTCATCAACTTGTTGCTCTCACGCTTGGGGCAGGAGGGGCAAAAATTTTGGAACATTTTTTTTCCCAGCCTCCAATCATCGCAATTTTTTGAAAACCATCCTTATTCGACATAAGTATAAACATATAAATGTTTGCAGTTTGCTCCATATCTGGAAGGTAGCTATCTCAACGACCAAAAAATGCTGGATCCGCCCCTGCTAGATACTAATATTTTAATGTTCTCTGAGCATCACAGAAACCAGTTATTGGAGCTAATCCCAAATTGAAATCTTCTGCTAAGTGGTATAGATTAATGTTTAAATATCTACATTTTATTCATTTTTGTTATAAAACGCATTACTGTCGAGTTGTTTCTTTGTAATGAATATCCTCGTTATTAAAAGACTCTCGTATAAATGAGCTATTTGTCATGCTGTACAGAGGCGATTATACGGAGGGAAGGGGGTGTTCTACCTCCCCCACACACACCCCACCACCCCCAGAGAAAGTGATTTTCAAGTAATAGTCCGTTTTCTTATGAATTTAGTCGGCTAGTCGAGTATTTGACACTTTTTAGTCGGGTAAATGTTTGTTTTGAGGAGCTTTTTTTTTTTTTATTTTAGAACCCAGTTGGTACTTTTTAATGATTCACCCCTCTCATTTTATTTGTAGAATCTCTCTCTCTCTCTCTCTCTCTCTCTCTATATATATATATATATATATATGTATATATATATATATATATATATATATATATATATATATATATATATATATATATATATATATATATATATATATATATATATATATATATATATATATATATATATATATATATTATTAACGAACCAAAACCTTCCGATAGATATAAATAGAATTGATATACAATAAAACTAGATATTGCTAATAACCCGAATCTTCAAGAAACTCCTCCTACTATTTCCTATCATCTCACAGGTTTCTTAAAGAATAATTTTTAAATATCTTATCTTAATATAACAGACAAAATAATAAGAAAATAGTTTAGTTTTGTTATTTTTTTCATTGTAAAAAAATTAACCATTAAAATAAGACTAGAAGAAGGTAATGCAGAAAGATACTAGAAAAATAAAATTAGAGTCTATAAAAGTAAAAGTTCACTAAAAATTTAATAATCAATTAATATTAAAAGTGTAAAGTAAGTCGTTATCAACAAAGTTATTAAAACCTAATACATTAATCAAAAATAATCCGTTATAATGAAAATAGATTTTATCCAACTGTAATGTTTTATTTGATATTACTAGTCCATATTTACTACTGTGATATTACTAGTCCATATAAATACTATTGTGTATTAAGATTGTAAAGGCATTTATTTACGATTTTATTATTTTACGATTGTAAAGGTAATTGAGCTATAGATAAAATAACTAAATTATTTTATTTTTAATAACTTGTATTCATGCATTGGTTGTTATGGCCCATGTTTTACCAGTTTCCAAATGCATAATTAATATTTTTTGTTGCATGGATAGTATTTTGTGCCATTGTTTGACAATGTTGTACTTCAACCAGATTATCCTATTTATCGAAAAAGAATTCGCAAAATATTTGTCAATAATGGACATCGTTTAACTTAAAACTTTTTATCGGCGTAAAATGCTACCGGCTGTAAATTTTATCGGCGTAAATGATTTGTTAATTTTTTTTTCAAAATTATCGTCGATAAATTTCTACAGCCGAAACGTTTACAGTCGATAAATGTTCCGGAGGAGCGACCCACAGAAATTTTTGTTGAAGATCCAGAGATATGAATATTTAGTTGTAGAAACCTATGGTTTAGAACTTTTCAAAGTACTTACCTTGAGTGAAAACTTAATACAAATTCATTCATTTTAATTGTGAACATTTCTTGGTAAATTTTAATTTCAAGCGATTTCTTTGTTAATATTTTATTAATGAATTTGTCATGTAAGAAATGTAAGAAAATTTTATAGACAGCGATTTTATTACGATATGACGCTAGCTACAATAGCTAGTGATCTTTAGCTAGCTGTCCTCGTAGCAAAATCGCTGTCTTTATCTTTACAAATATCGATAGCATTTCAATAACTTAAAAAAGCTAGCGATCCTCGTGGTCAAATCGCTGTCTTTATCGTTACGATTATAGCAAGGTATTTTCTAGCCAATTTCCCACCGGGATTGATACAACATAAAGCAGTGGTATTAACATCTCTTTCACACTTATTATACCTCCTACCTATTTACCTCTTAGAGCTAACACTCTACGTGGTTTCTGTACTGCATTTATTCCTGTTTCATTTACATCGTTAAGCAAACCAGAAGTAGTATTGCAATTATCAACAAGTTCAGTTTATTAAAAAATATTACAACCTTTTCCTAACAAAAACATTGACATAGATGTTGGTTGAAGTAATTTCAAACGAAGTAGGTTGATTTAGGTTATTATTGATATTTATTTTTATTAAAATTTATTTATAGTTGTATTTGTAGATGAATATATATATATTTTTAGGAAATGCTTGGAGAAAGTAGTTTTTCTTAATATGGTAAAAACCTTAGCATTGAGCGAGCCGAGGCGATTTTCTTTATTAATTTAATCGACAAAAGGCGTGTAAATCACAAAAGAACAAATAATATTTTTCACATTTATTTTTAATGTATTTATTAATAGCTATTATTTAAATATAAATTCATTTTGCAACACGTTTTTTAATTTTGTAGAATTTTGTTAATAATACTTTATGGTAAATCCCATATTATTTGTGGAGAACATTGCATATATTTGATCCTAAATAGCATAAATTAGCTAATACCAGATAAATTTAACCTCTCTGAAAGCTTCCATGATTAATTTCGATGTTTCATTTATATGGTATTTGCTACTTTTATAGCATTTGAATTAGAATATGTGGCATTTAAGATCTATAAAACATGTGGTATTTTCAACATATAACCCGTGTGGGATTTACCATATATAACCCAGATACGCTGACCGTCAGGTCAAGTTATTCTGCTACTGGTAACATGTAATTTAGTACAACTTGCTGCATGTTAACGTCAGGAAGGGCGTACAAATGTAAAAGATTGCTTTTACACTTTCATAACGACATTTATATGTCGCTATGGAGAGCAATGCAAACCACACAAATGTGGAAACATGAATATAAAAACTACAACAAAAAAGCAAAACACATTGGACAAAATAATAATCCCCACATGGGTTACATATGGAAAAATCCTACGCGTATCCCATGTGGGAATTACCATATGGAACCCATGTAGGATTTACCATATGGAACTCACATGGGACAAAATAATAATCCCCACATGGGTTACATATGGAAAAAGCTCACGCGTATCCCATGTGGGAATTACCATATGGAACCCATGTGGGATTTACCATATGGAACCCACATGGGACAAAATAATAATCCCCACATGGGTTGCATATGGAAAAAACCCACGCGTATCCCATGTGCGCTTTTTCACTGGGAAAGTACAACAGCACATCTCAAAATCAATTTTCGTTGATTATAAAAGCAATATTTGTGCATAAGGGACGTATTTTTACTAAAACTAATGTTAATTCAGTATAAACATGTTGGCCTAATCACTTTTTTGCCATAACTAATATTTATGAAAATACGACCGGTATGCCATCATAGGCGCTATGCCATCATAGATGCCTTTTCCCTACTTTCCTGAAAAATTGTAAATGCTTTTATATAAATTAATATGGATTTTGTGCCAATTAAAAAACATTGTAGTTAGCAAGAAAAATGTAGCGCTTTGAGAACAACATTATTAATTTTATTGATGGGGTCGCCGCAACTTGCCAAAAAATATCAAAGTGTTGCAGCTCTGGAAAGGTTGGGAATCGCTAACATATATAGTTCTTAAAATACAAAATAGAATTGGGTGCGTAATAGAAATTATTGTTTTCAAAGTACTTACATGTTTAATAACCTATATTTAGCATAATCTTTTTTTTTTAAAATAATGTATTTATCAGTTCCCTTCTATATGCACATATACTTAACAATAATAGATAAATTTCTTATACAAAACTAATAATAAAAAAAACTAGTTTAATTTCATAAGTATCTTAATGGTACAAGTGAAGTGTGCCACCACCATTTTTTATCAAATCCACCTTTGAATTAATTCAAACATTTAAAAAAAAAAAGAAAGTAAAGCGCTATGAAGTTAAACGATCCAATTAGATAATAGACACGCTAAAATCATTTTTTTTGTTATTATGAAAACCTTTATGAAGGCCTAGTGTTGTTAATCAGCACAGGGGAAACGATAAAATATGCAAGAGTTGCGTAGTCATTCAAGTACTATAATCAAACTAACCAACAGTATTTTATTATTCATTTCAAACTCTGGACTCTGTGTCAACTTTGAACTCTTTTGTATTTTGTATCAGTTAGAAAGAAATAAAAAAGCATTTATAATTTGCACGCGGTCCGATTTATATATTACAATGTTAGGGTTGCTTATAAATTTTGAATACTTTTTTCTTTTAATTTTTTCTTCTACTGTTGTGCCTAAAATATATACACAAAAGAGTTCAAAGCTGACACAAAGTTAATAGTTTAAAATGAATAATCCCTAGAGGCATTTGTTTTTGAAAGTTACGTTCTAAACGTTCTTTAAACGTCTTTTAAACGTTCTTTTAAACGTTCTTTAAACGTCTTTTAAACGTTCTTTAAACGTCTTTTAAACGTTCTTTGCGTAAGAATGTTTAGAAGACGTTTAAAAGACATTTAAAATACATTTAAAACGTAACTTTTAAAAACAAATGCCCGCTGGGATAAAATACTGTTGTCTATGTACATACGTATGTACATAGTTACGTAATTACATAGTTAGAATTGCTAATGTAAAATAGTTAACGTATGTACATTATTAGAATTGCTGCATTTCATGCTTATGTACATTATGCAGTTAGACTAATCCAGTAGAAATTTAGCTTATTTGTTTACGGGTTCCATCAAAAGAAGATTCAGCAAAACTACCTAATTTAATGTTTATTAAAATGTTAAATCCTATATAATTTAATTGGATATTAGTTATAAATCACACAATGGGGATTATTTTATAAATCTGTAGTTCAATTTAACAATAAAAAAAAGTTTTTTTAAAAAATTGAACTTTGTTAAAATAGCTTTGAAAAATTGTTGTTAAAACCGTTTTAAAATTTTGTTATCAAGAAAATTGTTTAAAAAAAACATCGATTAAAAAATTTTAAATGCGTATTAAGTAGTAATGGGTTTTTTAGGAGTTTTTCTTTAAAAAGTTTGTTAAAGTTTTAAACTTTTGTTACTCCTCCTGCTGCATTAGATCATACTCTTCATCTTTCAAACTCTCAATTTTCTCACGAATATCTTCATCCCTATCTTCATCTAAATATTCTTCTTCTCTCGGAGCATACTCGTCATCAAAATCATTTTCTTCTTGAAGTTTTCTCAATCTGCGTTCTTCTTCTTTTCTTCGTTGTTCTTCTTCCCAAATACGTTCTTCTTCTTCTTCTTCTCTTAGTCTTTCGTCCTCTGAATTATAGTTTTCGTCCAAGTTTTCTGGTTTCGACAAACCTTCTTCTTCGTTTAATTCTGGTTCTTCATCTTGGTTGGGTTCTTCTGATTGCTCAAAACTTCTTTTTTCTTCCTTAATAGTATACTCGTCGTCTTCATCTATGGAATGGTCTCGCACTTTTCCTTTTTCGACGTTTTTATTTTCTTGAGTTTTCTCATCTTCATCGTCACTGAAGGTTACTTTAGATGATATACGTATTGCTTTGCCTTCATCTTCTGAATTATCGTCATCGCTAGAATGACGATTTTTTTGCGTAGATTGGATTCGATCATTAACAGGTTCTCTCACAAGAGTCTGTTTAGATACACCTTTCTTGGTGCTATAGTCATCATTGTAAGCTTCCAGGTTATTTTTGGTTGTGGGGATATAACTGTTAGGATATGAATCACTCTCAAGGAATTTAAAACTTTTTTCAAGTTGCTTTTGACGAGATAAAAGTTCTTGAGCCTTTTCTCTAAGTTCTTTAATAACATCAATATTTTTTAAAAAGTCTTTTTCAAGCCGACAGTGTTTTTTATCAATTGCTTCTATTGATTCGTAAATTGAATTAGTCCGATCGTTCAAATTTTTCAGCGTGCTGTCCATAAGATCCATTTTTTTACGTTTAATTGTTATAATAATTGTTTTTTTTTTAGACGAGTTGTTTGCCTTATGTAACGAATTTACTTCTAAACAAAATATTTTATATTAAAATAGATTAAAAGAATTTTATTAGGAAGGGGTCGTCCATAAATTACGTCTCGCTTCAGGGGGAGGGGGAGAAGTTAGTGACTCTTACGGAACTTGTTACTAAAGAGCTACAATGTTAATATGAGGGGGACGTAGCTTGTAGACGACCTCTAATTCAAACGATAATAAATAATAATAAATTTTATTAATAATACAAAAGGTAATAAATTATGAAAAGAAAAATGAATAAAATATTTGTGAAGCATCTGTAAATTGTATAGTACTTATGTTTGTTTGTGTGTGTGTGTGTGTGTGTGTGTGTTTAAGTATGTGAGTGTTTGCATGCACAACATAAAAGTTTAAGCCTAAAATTTTTTTAAATACTTTTATTATTTATTATTAAGCAAAATAAAATAATTTTAAAGCGTTCCTAACTTATATATACATATATATGTATATGTATGTATGTATGTATGTATATATATATATATATATATATATATATATATATATATATATATATATATATATATATATATATATATATATATATATATATATATATATATATATATATATATATATATATATATATATATATACATATTCGTATACAAAGCATTATACATTCTTCTTACCTTATAGCAGATGCAACGATGATCAATTTTAAATTGAACTTTGTGCAAAAATTTTTTATTTATATAAGATAATCTCTTTTAAAACTATGTAGGTTTTAAACCAAAGGTTGAAATGAACGCAGCGAGGTATGCAATTCCTAATTGTGCTCAACCCATAATCTTAATTCAACTTATAACAATTACTTAATATTGTCGTTAATACCTGGATTATTTCGTATATTTATTGCTAAATGATCTATGTCAAATACACACAAGTTCTTTTGTAATAACAACGAATTGAACTTTCATAGTTTTTGTTTTTATTTTTATCTTTTAGTTAGTATGCGGTAAATAACAAAAGTATTTATTTAAACTAAAAGTCGGCCAAAATAAAACATTTTATTTATATTATTAATAATATGTTTATTACTAAATAATAAATATAGTAATTATTTTGTAATAATAATTAAAACAACTTTATTTATTTAAGACGAGTTTAAAGTTTAAATTATCGGTACACGTTGTTTTTGCTTTTTTTTTTATTATAAGAAACTCATTTTTAAAAGATCTATTTTCCCAATCCAAATTTTCCCGCACTCGTTTGCGCGGGCAAATTAAATACTTATTTAAACTTTGTTCACTGTTGTAATGCTTTTTTGTGTTGTGTTGATGCAATATATAGTTAAAAAAAATTAGGAAATATTTCACAAATTCTTAACAAAATATGTTTCTTATTGAAAAGTAACATAGCACCAAGAGTTTTTTAAGATTTTGTGGTTTCTAGTGCTAGTTTCTTATAAACAAGTTTCTAATTTAAAAAAAAAAGATACAAAAACCAAAAACTGCAGCTTAATTAACTAAAAAAGTTTTAACTAATTAACTAGTTAATTTGTTTATTTACTTTTTGGCGTAATTGAAGTCAATTAACTTTTTAGTTGGAAAAATATTTATAGTAATAGTTTCGCAAAAAGTAATTTTTATAAACAAGTTTATGCAATTGTTGTGCAGTTGTTTGATAACCACTTATTTAGAACGTAACGGTTTTAGATTTGGAGCGACAAATAGAGTTACAATTAAAAAGTAATAACAATAATAACCTGCCATAACCGGACATGCGTAAAATGCGAAAATTGGGAAATTTTTATCGGGTAAAATACTTGCGTAAAATTACTGCGGACTTTAACCATATCCCAAACCAAAACCTCCCTAAAAAAAACGTATTTAGGGAGATCACTTAAAAACTTTTTAAGTGATCTCCCTAAATACGTTGATGTTTGTACTATGTTACCAATTCCTGAAGTAATCAGAGACCACGGACAGAGAGTAAATAAATTAGAAGAAGAAAAATGTAAAGTGTAAAAAATAAGAAATAAGGAGTTAAAATGACAGCTTAAAGAAGCTCAAAAAAATAGGTTGCTAGTAAAGTGATGGCAAAAATTTGTTAATTGAATTTTTTTATCATTTCTATATATATTTTTTAATTGAAAATATATGTTTTAATAGGCAATTAAAAAGTTAGTGAACTTTTGTTACGCTTAAAAGTTAATCGACTAACAATTAGGCGTTGAACTAAAACGAACATTAACTCCCATCATTAATGATATAAAATGTCTTAATAAGCGGCAAGTTATGTTACATCCGATCTTGAGGCAACTATTTATCAAATAGAGGCAATTATTTATCAAACAGAAGCGATTCAAAAATCATTTTTTAAGATGATCGGATTATATTTGATGGTTAATGAACATAGTATGAAACATAGAATGAAATAGTACTTGAAATAGCTCATTCATCAAAAAGATTATATTATTCTATTTACATATTTGTAAACAAAAAATTTAAAGTATTTATTAACGTGTTCAACAAGTTACAATAAAACACGTTTTATATTTTTAACGTTAAAAACCGTACATTGGAACAATAAAACATTAGAGTGAGGTTGTTTTATATAGCACAAACATTAGAGTGAGGTTGTTTTATATAACACAAACATTAGAGTGAGGTTGTTTTATGTAACACAAACTTTTTATATTGCTCACGATATTGTTTTACAGTTCTTTACAATAACATTATTACTAAACGTTTAAAATGAAACTTTTTTATTGCCACTTATGGGTATAAGTGAAAATAGTTCTGCACACTGTTTGTTTCTGAAAGTTTTAGGTTGAATTTCAAAAGGCTTTAAAGTTTTCTTTAGATTCTGTATCATGTGCATGTACGAGCTGGAATGTGTTAAAAATAAAATCCTATTTGTTCCCTTTTAGCCAAAAAACGATATTTAATATATAAAATGATATGATATATATCTGATATTGAGAAAATAGTGTTTAAAAAAATTCATCTTTTTTTTATCATTTTGTCTCTCATAATAAAAATCATAAAAAAGGTTGGCTAACATTTGCCGACTGTCAACTAAAGATCAAAATTTGCCGACTTCAGTGCCCAAACTTGCCGAATAATTTTTTAAAAATTTTTTTCTAGGGGGCTTAGAAACCCCCTAAGCCACCCAGTTATAGCCCTGTATAAATTTAAAGAAATAAGCTAAAACATGCATGATAATAATATTTTTAATTTTCATAAAGTTGTAGGTCAAAGTCAGATTTTTGAGGGTTAATCCATGGTTTTTTGTTAAATTCTGAAACAGCATAGCACTTTAAAATTTTTTGTTAAACTTTTTTGTACAGCCTCGGATATTTGCTCTAATAAAAGTCCAAAAGGTTTCTGATTTCTTGGTGGTATTTAATACAGTAGCGTAGTGATGGGCCGGCTGCCGCAAGAGGACCCAAATAATGGCCCATTATTTGAGCGGAAGTTATTTGGGGCCCAAGTCAAGTTTTTCAATTTTTTTGTTAAAAGTTGTCATTCTTAAAAATAATAAGCATGTATATAAAAATAGCACAGGGCCGACGACACGGGTTTCGAAGTGTGTGTGTGTGGGGGGGGGGGGGAAGGCACGATCATCAATTCTTAAAAAAGTCTTCTATATTTAGGATTTTCTTAAAAAAAATAAAATGAGGTCCTTTAGAAAAAAAGTGGGGGCACGTGACCCCCCTGGCATCCGGTATCGTCGGCCCTGTAGCAACATTAGCAAAATTTATATATATATATATTTATATATATATATATATATATAAATATATATATATATATATATATATATATATATATATATATATATATATATATATATATATATATATTTATATATATATATATATATATATATATATATATATATATATATATATATATATATATATATATATATATATATATATATATATATATATATATATATATATATATATATATAGGCGATTCCACAAATAAAATGAGGGGAGGGGGTGAATCCTCGCTAAGTACCGACTGATTCTTTAAAAAAAAAAAAAATCCTTAAAACAATAATTTACCCAACCGAACAGTTGGGTAACAATCCACACAATCCATTTTTAATATTTTTAATCTAGACATTTATATTTACAGCTAAAATGTAGCAAAATAGCTCTTTTGTTAACAAAAACTTGAGCAATTAAAAGTCTATACAAACTTGTAATTGTTAAAGTTATATACATATATATATACATACATATATATATATATATATATATATATATATATATATATATATATATATATATATATATATATATATATATATATATATATATATATATATATATATATATATACATATATATATATATATATATATATATGTATATATCATTGTCGGAGATTTCAACTTACCGAAAATTGATTGGGTTAACTATGTTTCGCCAATTGAGAAATGTCATAATCTTGGTATGTACCAATATGTACTGGAGCCCACTCGAGAAAATAATATTCTTGATCTTGTTCTCTCAAATATCATTTCCCTATTAAGTAATATTTCCGTTGAGTGTCCATTTAGTACAAGCGACCATAACTCAGTCTTTTTTTATATAAACACCTTTAATTATTATCAGCCCGAAACAAACTTTGAATCTTTTTACGACTTCAAAAATACAGATATAATTGCTTTTAATTCTTATTTATCAAAAATAAGTTGGGACTTCGATTTTTCTTTTGTTTTTACAACTGAAGAGTATTGGAACATCTTTTCTAATCATCTTCGTAAAGGTATTGATCGTTTTGTTCCAATCAGAACAATATACCATAACAAAAAAAGTCGTTCTTATCCAAAATATATTTATAAAATGCTAATTCGCAAATCTTTTCTATGGAAAAGATGGTCAATCACAAAGACCACCTTGCACAAAAAGGCATTTATCCAATATGCATCAAAATGTAAAAAAGCCATATCCACACACCACAAAAATGTGGAACTAAAACTGGTCAAAGAAAATAACTTAAGTAAGTTTTTTAGTTATGTAAATAAAAATCTAAACAACCCCAAAAAAATATATCCTCTAAAAACAAATAGCAACTTTACTACTACCAATGTTGAGATCGCGGAAGTGTTTAACAAACACTTTGGAAGTGTTTTTACCATAGATGACGGAATTTCGCCTAAAATAAATACCTTTGTTAGTGAACATATTAAGATGAATTTCGTAGATTTTTCAGCAAAGATAGTTTATCAAAAACTTAAAAATCTAAAACCTAGCACATCATTTGGACCAGACGGTATACCAAATATACTTTTAAAACAGTTAGCACATATAATATGTATTCCGCTTTCATATATATTTGAATCAAGTTTTACGTCAAGCTCGTTACCAAAACAGTGGCTTCAAGCTACGGTAATGGAAAGTATTGTTAGTTCAAGTATCGCTGATTATCTTAATATAAATAATCTAATAACACCTAATCAACACGGCTTTTTATCCAAAAGATCTACGTGCACAAATCTTCTAGAGTCAACTAATGACTGGAATAAAGCTTTAGACAGCAATTTAATTACTGACGTGGTATACATTGACTTTCAAAAAGCATTTGACTCTGTACCTCATCCAAAACTTCTGAAGAAACTTGCAATGTACGCCATAATAGATAATCTGCTTCATTGGATATCAGCATTTCTTTCTAACAGATATCAAAGAGTTCTGGTTGGAAATTCACTATCTAATTCAACCTGCATCCTAAGTGGAGTTCCACAGGGTAGCGTCTTGGGTCCAACGTTATTCTTGTTATTTATTAATGATCTACCCTCTATAGTAAAAGATCTTAATTGCT